TTTACTTTGTTTTAATTTACTGCTTTGGTGATTTAAGTTAATAATTAAATGTTATTCCAAATTATTAGTTCCTTTATTGTCCTTTGCTCGTATGTTTTAGTGTCCTGGTTCCCGTCTTTTGATTTTTCTTCTGCTGTGCATTCTCCACACGTAACAGTCACGTGGGAGAAAAAAGTCTGTTGATGCTCCTTTACTTTGAACAAATTAACAAAGAGGGTTTATTGTTTCAGGTTAAAGCCTATAGCGGGGTTAAACTATAAACAAGCGCAGGGCTGGTGAACCATTTATCAGCAAAGCTGCAGTGTCCCTGATTTTCAAATCCATCAACCATCAAGTTCCAAAACAACTTGACCAGGTCGAGTTACTGCTGTGGGGTGATCAGCTACCTCGTCTGTCTCCGAGTCGACACTAATTGATTTCTGTACTTGTGACCCTGTGTACACTGTCCAGGCACATGATGCCCCGTTTGGTTGGCTTTCGCGTATGTTATTGCCTGTAAAAAAGAGGGGATGAGGACAGAATCGGACGTTTTCACTAAGATGATTGGGTTGAATAAATTCAACAATTGCTACTCAACACTTGGAGTAGTTAGGGAAATATCTACAATTCATTTCTCCAGTGAGCAGACCAATGCGGTACCAGACCTTGTGCTCAAAGTGGTCTTATCGCGGTCGTAGATCGGCCAAGTGGTCATCGAGCAGCAGGAGGTCTCCATGGCTTTACTGCTGGTTAGCCTGGGTCGCTAATTGGTCAATAAATACCCTGTGGGGGCTTGGCGGGCCGTTCGAACTCCCTGTGTTTTATGCCTTCATGCTTGTAGTTACACTGTCCTGCCATTGAAGTGTACATGGTACGGTGACGTAACTAGAAGGGAGGGGCACGGGGGACACAGGCCCCAGGGTGCCCGTGCCCCAGGGTGCCTCTCTCCCATTTAAAACCAGTAAACAATCTCTATATAACGACCGCTTACACAAAGAGAATTAGCCAAATCACGATGACATACCTGGGGCAAAATTCAACTGTACTGCGTTTTGCGTTTTCACGAAGAGACCAATTTGTCTTCGAGAGACACAGCGTTAGCAATAAAGGGCCAAACCATGGGCAAGTCATTTTGCAGTTTTCTCAAAGAGGGAAATTGACTCAGAAAATTTATACAAATGTAATGGTTCTGTATCTGGCACGTGCTCTAGCAAAACAAAAACACCTTTCCAGAATAGACAAGAATAGACAAACGTGTTTGTTTGCGAAATAAACAATTTTAATTGGCTTCTATATTTGTTATTTTATATTTTAGTCATTTAGGATCCCCCTCTTTCACGGAGTGTTGCGTAATACAATATACTGGGGGAAATAAGCATTTCAAAAGAGACCAACTTCAAATGCAATTTACTACCTGGTGAGAATTTTGCCTCTTCGGGAGACGGTGACACTATTATTATGCAGCTGCAGCTTATTTCCTGTGGCGCCCCCTTGAAAAAATGTGTGCACCCCCGGGTTCGTTCTTGAATTCCAATCTTAAGAGGTTTAGGGGTCCGGGGGAGCTACCGTACAACGCGACTTGTACACTTACACAACATCTTTGCTTTTCGTGTCAGGTTTTCAACGGTAACACGGACAGCAGCTCCAAAGTCACGAACCTGTTTGGTGAAAGTGTGGTGGCCACAATCGTGCGCATTGAGCCTACCAGTTGGAATGGAAGCCCTTTTTTTCAATTGCAGTTGCTTGGATGTCGCCACAATTAATGCAGCCGCTACTGTATTAACCATGTCAGTACTTACATTTTCTGATACATGTTTGGTGTAACATTGCAGAAATAAAACTGCCCCAATTTATGAAGTTATGACTGCGATTGGCAGCACACATTGGAGTGGATGTGACGAGAATGCAAGTCTGAACATTATTTTGTAAATAAATGTTACATATTTGATTTTACATGCCGTTTCAATTGGGGTGTCTTAGGAGTAAAATACGACAGGCTCAGCGTGTAGACTAATTTTATCTGCATGTGGGGGTGGATCAAATGTTGACCCCAACTGTGGGAATTCCATTAGAGCGCTGTATACTATCAGCCTGTTTGTAGCGATGCAACCCCAACGCGTGGATTTCATCATAGGCACTCGTGAACCAGCGTAGTTCAGTTCCGACGAACGCAGCCTCCTGTGCTGAGAAAATCGCACCATCTCTTGGTCCAGCTCTAGGTTCATTTAATAAAGTATTAACTGCTACAAACAGAGTCACTGCAGTTTGAGCCATATTTTCTAGGAATCTGATTGGCTATTTGAATTTTTCTGTTCCATTTTTTTTTAAAACAACCAACAGAAGACAACAAATCTAGGAAACAGATTTTATAATCTAGTATTCATGATATTGACCTGACGTAGAGCGGAGTGGCTCCCATGGGGATCCAATTTTTTCCAATTACGTAATTAAAAAACAAATTCGGCCAAATGCAAAAACCTCCTGTTAATTTGTCTTTCTGTAGATGCTGAACAGCGTAGTTTAGTCACCTTTGACATGGGGACTTCCCCTGAGCTGAGCAATTCTTTTCCAGAGCCTGCCTCCAGCCAAGTCCCATGGGGATTGTATGTAAATATCTAAGCCACGTGCTGATAATGGTTATTGACAAACCAAGTGCCTGGGCAAGCCTGGGCCTGTCTTATATCAATAGTCGGTCTCTCTGATGTGTCTTTGAGCTGTCTAGACAGTTGTCTAAGTAGTTTCACTGCGTTGGGGGGGTTGTCAAATTTTTGTTGAGTGTGGTGGGACCCCCCCCCCTTTGACTGGAAAAAGGGTACCGTGACCGTACTCTGACTTTTTTTGTGTGGTTTTTTTTTTATTTGTGGGCACTTAGGAACACCCTCTGATCAATTTAAATACCAGTAAAAGGGAATATGGATTTGGGATGAGGGCTATAACGACGGGATCACAATTGTATCATGCCCGAGCATTAACCCTAAAAAGTAGGTCAATCGCAGCGGAGGGTGGAAGAGGATCGGTATAAGGCAAAGTAAAAATGTGATAATTTTTCATGCATTTTACCATCTGTTTAAACTTTGGCACTTTATTTTTAGCACCGAAACAGGACCATAATGTCACTTTGTAAACTTACAGAGACCTCAGCCTTACGTGCCTAATTCCTAAGCATTCAATTTCTAAACGCTCTCCTTTCGTACTCACAAACTTATATTCATATGTTTAAAACTACTAGCATGATGAGTGTTAAAACAAAAATTGCAAAACAATTATAGAACATAAGTTGGAACTTCTAATACCAAGTTTTGTTTTTGCCCTTTGTTTGTTTGGCCATAACAGGTGTGGGGTAGCATATCAGCGAAAATTTGAATGAAAAAACGTGAGAACTGTGCCCAAAATACTGTTTTTGACCAAACTGAGCAAAAATGGAATTAGCGCCTTCTTGTTGTCACCTTGGGAGCATGCAGTCTAACGTAGTGGCAACAGGCAGATTGTGAGAATTATAGCAATTTTTCACATAAAATCACATAAAATTTATTTACCTTAGCAACCACCTCTTGTTAATTTTACTCAGGATGTGTATTTTGTGTCGTTTTGAAAAATGTTGTAAATTGAAGAAATAATCTTCAAAAAAATGTTTCTTATTATAAAGTGTCTTTGAAAACCCCGCAAAAAAACTCATTTACATAATAATGTTAAAATGGGCGTGGGGTCCCTCGTCAATAAGCAAAGTTGAGGTCAAATATCAGCCGCTCAGATTTGATGCATGCGCAGTACGCTCAAGTTAAATGAACGCACGGTCAGTGGGCTTTGCTTGTACGTGAGACTTGCCAGAGAGAGACTGCCCTAAAAGATAAGCAGAGGACATTCTCCTGGAATAAGTCATTTCTGAGCATCCATGAATGTGGCTTTAATATTTTTTTATAAGAAATCCGGCAAAAAGTATCATCTTCAAAAAATTGGCGCCCGTTCAGCTTTATGAATGTGGATTATAAAATGTTATTCAATGTTATTACTTATAAACTTAAGCTTATGCATAATCTTACTAGAAAAGAGCAATATTGTGGGGCCCCTTCTGGGAATATTCAAACCAACCTTATGATTCTTAGGGGCATTATTGATTATGGCAATTGGAATTATTTGAGGAGGGAATGATTAGTTTGGATCAAGAAAAAGCCTTCGATCGCTGTATTCGATTTACATGTTTTCGGTTCTTAATGTTTTTATGAAGCAAACCCTACTGTAGTATAATAATGGACTTTATTTGGACGCCAATTCAGGTCACGTGCGACATTAGAAAAAGGCATCCCTTGTCTCCAAAACTTTATGAGGGGAAGGTTGGGCGTCCATAATTTGAACCAATGCTCTTTTGAAAGGGATTAATGTTCCTAATGGGGATCAGAGTATTTGTCTCCAATGAACGTGTCTCTGATACTGACCCATTTGTAAGTTGAGTTTTGGCTGGACAAATGACGTGATAGGATAGATAACCCGTAGGCCTATAACTTAATCCTCTTGGTTTCAGAAAACGAATATTCTTGGCTTTATTTCTGGGAACAATGTGACCCCAGTTTTTCGATAATTGGTTACAACACTTCCGCTGTTATACAGTTCAATGGTACTAAATACACCACCAGGGCTGCTGCATGTTCAAGAGATTTTTTTAAATGTGCGTTACATGCAGAAACTAATCAAAGAGAATATTACATATTGCAGTCACGGACACCTTGAGCAAAACTAAATCATTTCAAGTTTTAAGTGAAAATCTGTAGACTAGTAGGGCCTACATATGTTTTATAGTCGAGCCACGAACTTGAACGACAAAAAATTAAACTTGAACGACAGCTTTGCCGGTGTTTGCTCCAGAGAATAATCCCACAAAAGCATCAAACATGTTGTCGAATCCATTGGTGACATGCTCCTTGTACCTCAGTTTTCCCTGTAATGAAATGGAATAGGAATTAAAGTAAAGCAGATTTGTAAACAAACATCAAATTTGAACATAATTTGCTATGGAACTTTGAGGGGTACACTTAGGTTGTGGTTGAGGGCACACCTATCACGTGATCCCGTCCCAGTATAGGAACACGGGCGTCATTTAAAAAATCAGGACTCACAATGCCTTTGTTAACATTGAGGCCACAGGCGGCCACTTTACAGTGCCGAATTCAAAGGCCATGGTGGTTTGATGGCCATTGTAAATATTGATATCATGAACAAATTTGATTAACAGTGACGAGCAAGCTCTGCATTACCTTTGTATTCGGCACGCTACGACGGCCGTTCTGTGGCTTCAATGGCCTCTGCAGGCTGATTACGTGTTTTGGGGTCCGATCTTTTTCGTAAAGTCCGTCCTAACGTGTCATCTTCTGAGCCGGAAAATGTGTTTTATTCGCTTTTCGCTCTATTTATGTAATGCAACACACTTTTACATGCTCACTTTTGAAATGAAATTGAATCTCAATGTTTCGTATCTATGTTCGAGTATCACATCATTAGCAGATCATACAGTGTCTGAGCTCATCATCAAACAAACTCCCTCAGCAGTCCGACTTTAAATAAACAGGGTAAAGCATGCATCAATCAGCATATTTGTCACTGTTTGCTACATAAGACCTAAAGGAAACTTGTTGCAAGGTTCTTTGGACTTCAGCTAGGGTTATGCTAGCTTATATTTCTCAATACATTTTGGCACATACCCCTCTAAATGCACTACCGTTTTTCATGAATGTGATTATTTCAGACTTGCATCTTAATAATTTTCCTCGCGAAAGATTAAAAGTCGACCCCTTTTCATGGTGTCTTTAATAAGAATTAGCTTTTGTGTGTGAAAAGCAAAACATAAGCCCAATAATAATTGGAATATCGGTTTAGCATAGATATGCAGAACAGGGTGACCTCATGTTAAGCTGACCTGTAGAATCCACTGTATATGTTGTTGCGCCCAATCAGGGAAGCGGTCGCGGTGGGAATATATGACGAATCCTTGAACTTTGATCTCGTTTCTGATCACAGCGCCGTGAAAAGCACGCACTGTCAAGTGGGAACAACAACATACAAGGACTGTCTGATTTCGTGTGGCACAAAAGCACATTGGTCAAGCGACTCATTTAGTTAAGTCATAACATAGAGTATCCAGCGGGAGCGCAATACGGGTGATGACCCACAAATCTGAAACTACTTCATGTGGTTGCTGAGCCTTTAGACCAATTAAGGCAGGGTCTTTAGGAGAAACCTTTTGAAGTGGGTCAATCTGACCTTCCCCCGTTCCTGAACTTAGAGAGGGAACGCCCAACCGGCACAAAAATTTGTACGAAGACTTTTACCTATTTCTACCATTATTTGTATATGGATATTTAAGCGATAAGTTCACACGTTTCCAAAACATTTTCAATTTTCGCAAGAATCTCAAAAAAGTAATCTATCGACACAAAATGAAATACAGATATGAATTATCATCCGAAGGGAATATTCGCTTAGTTAATTTTAATATTTTGGATCACATTTTTATATTTTGGCAAGAAATTTGCATTTATTCTTTAGTTATACATTGTATATTGTCACAGTCGCCTAACTGTGGTGTACAAAACACAAGAATTAAATCCGGGTTTCACTCTCTGATGTGAACTGTTTGCAGAATTGTATTTACTGTATGTTTTAAATAATAATCTGCGGAAAAATGGTTCCGAAATGTCAATAATTCTCACAGGAAAAATAACCAAGTTTCCTTTCTCAAAGAATCGAAACAGCTCAGTGAATTTCTCAAGACAATTTTCTTCAATCATTTAGGAGTATACTTTTGATGCAACCGTTTGCGTAATCTTTCAATATCAATCCAATACACTGTTCTGACTAGCGTCAATAATACACTGGAAAGCAAAAGAAACTTGCCACTTCTGTCGAAGGCCACACATAAAAATTCACTCCATAGAAACAATTTTTGTACATAGGTATGCTGCAATACCCCTTACTAATTGCATGCCCCAAAACAGGTGATTATCTTTATAACAAAGAAGAAATTGACATGTACAGCAACTTGGTTACTGAATCAAAACCACTCATGCACATGATTTCGACAAAACAGGTGTTCACTTTGTCATTGGTTGTTTAAAATGTTGTCCATTCATTGGTCATTTTTGCTAGGTGGAGAGTGCTTTTGTGTGACTTTTGACGAATCATGGCCTAAAGAACAGCCTAACAAAAGATTACTGAACAAAGAAAGAAGATGAAATTTTTAAGTATGAAAGAGACTTGTATTAGACTTGGAACAGCTGTGACATAATTATGTACAAGAGACAAAATTCAGTACATATCCTCGCATAAATGTTTGCTAGAGAAGACTTTCCCTCCCCGAAAAGTCAAATGGTGTGAAGAAATACTAAGTAATACCGGATAATTAATTATGCAGATATGCATTTTTATTTTGATGAAATATTTAAAGGCAAGTGTAAGTTTGACACCAGTTCTGGATATGAAATTCATATTTCATAGTGAGAAAAAAATTGTACGTCTTGACAAAGACAAGAGGAATAGTATGCATAACAAGGACACATGATAGTATATATACACATGGTGGAAAATCTAGTCTCTGGATGACAATATTGATTCTTAATTTCTATGTAACTTGAAACACTTTGTCTAATTTTCACAAATTTGGTGTCAAAAGACGTGAAAGGAAACCGCCATGAAACAATACTTGGATATTTTACAGGTTAATTTTGACAGTATATGCACTTATGCCCAACTTCCCCTGGCTGGGGGTTAGGATGGCCCTGGTCTGATAGGTTGAAGGAAACAATAATGGATTCCGAAGATACAAAAATAACGCCAACTTGAAAGTTGGCTTACTTAAGGAGTGTTTCCCTACTTATAGTCGTAAGAAGTAAAATAAATGGATTTCTTCTCATTATCATAATCATCACTTAGGGAGGACCTTAGCCCCAGGGTGCATGTCGGCCTACTGCCAAGCCAAACTTAACGTTTAGCCAAAATCATTTTTCTGCAACTTTGTACTCTTCTTCAACGTATAAAAACTGTGAAGTTTGAACGTCACGCTTAGGATTATTAATGGAAATTCTGAGAAAGGGATTGATGCCTGCTTATTGCTATGCACATGAACAATGAATCAGCGCAGAAGAGCCCACCAAAATCATACAGGACTTTTTGTGTACTGATATTTTGGCTTTCTTACTGGGATGACACGCAGTTTTGCTGGTAAATATGGAAATCTCATGAGCATAAAATCCAAACAGCAAGTAAAATTCCCTTTGGAATAGTGACGACAAAGTTGAAAATAAGGCTAACTGAGATATAGGGTGCATTTTTCTGGTTTTACTACAAATACTACAAATTGATGGCAGCTACCCTTTAATTTAAGAAGGTAAAAGCACGGCAGTTGCGCTAAACATCGCTCTTAACAGAGAAGTGGCCACTGCCATTTTGAATAACAATAGTGAGGAATACCCTGTAGAACTAAAGAGGCTGAAGTGCCAAATGCAATTTGCAGAGATGAATTGGCGGTAAACGTCGTGCCGACCGTTTTTGTTTTAAATTTTCGTTTTTGTTCAGCAAGGCAGCACCCAGTTCGGCGTATAGTCTATGTAGGCATGATAGGCCTATACTTGCTAGAAACAGACTACTTTTACTTCGGTTGTCTACAGGGAAGTGAATTGAGCCTACTCATCTGATCTTTGTCTGTCTCTTTGTTTGATTTGCAACAGAGTGTTAGCTAGAAAGGAGCGTGTCGCGGGAAAAAGAAAACTTACACATTGGTGGCTTGGTGTTATTGTACGTTGATATAGCCCCACAGCATGCTATGCGTCCATATCGTGCCATGTTATTGAGGACGATGCTGGAAAACTCACCACCGACCTATCATGTGCATTGAAAGCGACAATCAGTGAGCAATACGCTCAAATGAAAGTATATTTCGAGGGCAGGTTGTGATATAGTAAACGTTAAAAATGGTAAATGTTAATCATGGTGGGCTTAATACTTGTGCAGAGAGGTCCAAGTGTAATCAACAAATTACATAATGTGGCTGGAATATGTTTATGCAAAAGCCCATTAATTTTTGTCAGTTCCACTTTTGAATTCGAAGGGGCTGAGTCCAGGCTAAGGATCTCACCGAACTACAATGAATACTGCTGCCAACTTACATTGTCAAAGAAGCAGTTAATGCCATTGGGTGCGACAGACTTCAGAGTCGCGTCCAGGTCCTTCACCGTCTTGTAGTTGAAGGCTTCATCGAAACCCAGTTCCTTCAGCCAGGTCACTTTGGCGTCAGAGCCCGCGAATCCTATGACTTTACAGCCCTGCAGTTTTCAAAAAGGAATAAAAACTGAACGGCACGATCTTCCTGCAGAAAGCACAAAGCACATTTATTCGAAGAAATGGGTGATACTTGCTGCGTTCTCCATACTGTTGGAGTTTCACCTTTTCTGTTTACCAATGTAATGGAACTGCAGTAGTGATCCAGACCTTCAGAAACTAAAATTGTCTCTACAACTTTTAGTTCAAATGTAACGTTTTCCCTCATAATTGCTCAGTTGCCTCTAATTTTTGTAATGTATCTTCACATGTCCTATGCTATAGGATACTATCCTATGCGCTCCGAAAGAGCGTCATCTTTTATTAAACACCACTAACCTTGATCTTGCCAATTTGCCCCACCACGTTACCGACTGCCCCAGCTGCACCGCTGACTACCACTACCTCGCCAGCTTTAGCTTCGCAGATGTCCACCAAGCCGCAGTTGGCTGTCATGCTAGTTCGCCAAAACGAAACGCAGTGATATATCACATCCACACAGGCATTTTTCAATCTCTTGGAGCAACCAGCGACACAAATATTGTTCAACATGTGCCATAAGGAGTTGGCATACTTCGAAATACTGCACGTTTTCCTTTCCCAACACTGAAGAACATTGAAGGATGTGGAACTTTCAGAGTAGTTTCAGGGTTCTTTCAGATGAGGTTGCTTTGGTAAATATTGATATCTATGTTTTAATCTTGTATGTCAAGCCGATCGTACTTTCAAGAAGTCTTTTTTATACCTCATCCAATTTCTATAATGGATTCCTCGGTGGAACTTATATAGGCAAAAAGTTGAGTCTTCGCTCATTGCTGCAAATTACACAGTGCTTTGTTTGTAATTCCTCGGGAAAAATAATTATGATATATGACGGTTTCATACTCTAACTCAACGGCAAACCTGCTTGATGTACCTACCCTGGCATACCCAGGGTTCCTAAGGCCAGAGAGAGCGGAATCCCCTCTGGGTATGGTGAGATCTTTGTCAGGTCCTTCCCGTCGGAAACACAGTGGGTTACCCAGCCAGCATTGACAAGCACGTTGGTGCCAACAGGGAAATCGGCATTCTTACTTTCGATGACTCTACATAAAACAACAACAAATGAAATACTACAATGTAAAATGCTAAATGCTAAATCGACGGTTTTCACCCCTCAAAAACAGCTCCATCGGGATGACTGATTTCTGGTTTCAAACGATGTGACGAGCCAAGAACTGTTAATTTCCAAATAAATTATTGTTCAACTGTCTTAGCAGTTCATTCACGAGCACCTGTCATGTGAGGTCGCAGTCATGTATAGTCCATGTCATGGAACAAACGGTTCTCTTATCGTAAACATACCTGGCTATTTGCTCACCCATCATGGTGCCCCCTTCATGCAGTAAAGCTGCATACGGCCTAGCGGGAAGATAACGCAATTCACCTGTTGACATTAGTGCTTTATATAAGGGTTGTTTAGAATCTAGTGAACAGTCATATCACAATGCCTCATGAAGCTATTGGAACCTTTACTTCAAATCAGCCACACAAAGGTTTTGTCTGTCTACCTCTTTACAGTTCAAACTTTTACATGGGTTGGCCCATACACAATGGACCTCTGTATGAAATGTGCAATTAGGTAGGCGCATGCACATTTCTTTCTATAGTTGGCAAAGTTAATAATTAATAAAACTTAATTAATCTCTGACGTAACAATACAAATCCCCATACGCGCGCAACTATGCGCCTATACACATCGTTTCTATACTCTTATAGTTTGACACGAGTGCCAAACTTAAAGACAAGGAATTGCTACTTTCCAACCTCAGGACACTGAAAGCTTCACTTGCTGAAGTATCAGGCGAGGGCTGTAACAAAGTTTAGATTGAGCTTCATCGCGCCAGGTTGTCGTCACAGCAGTTTTACCACACTGTCGACAGCATTGACGGCTGCGCTTGCCAACCAGTGGTAGTAGTGCTCATGCGCCTGTATCATTTGCATATTTCATGGGAAAGGTCCATTATTTCAATGACACACGCTGGCGTATCCAGCGAAGGGGGGGGGGCAGCCCCGTCGCCAGCTTCAGGCATTAAAGCGGGCCATAGTATCAGCTAGGGGAGTCATATTACATGTACCAGAGCAAAATACATTTTTAATGCTTATACTTTTACTGGTGGGGGCCAGCCCTCTCCCTTGGCGATGGGCCCAGGAGGGGGAACCCCCCCGCCAACGGATTTATGTTTTTTTTTTAACAAAGAGTTCTTCATAGGTGAGTAGGTAAGAAAGTAATCCGTATATCAAATGTTAGCACCAAAACCCTAGGAAAACAAAACCATGAAATAAAATCAAGGATGATGGGAATGTGAGAAAGGTTTTTAATGTTTTTCTCACCCAAAATCATGTTGAATGGTTCGATCAGCTCCTTAAGGTGCGTGGTGACACGATTCGATACACCATTGAATACACCATTTCACTGATTGAAACTGTCAAGGAATACCTTAATTGACCGAATCCATCTGTACGGCACAATGCTTTCTGACTCACCTCATGTACGGATCCACACTGAGATACACTGCTTCCAACAGAACCGCTGTTGGCAAAAGAAATAAGAGATAGAGCTTTTTCGAGGCTTCTTCATACCGGTGCTACATATTTTCCTTTTCCATTTGGTCAATATACTAAGTGTTAGCAGTGTTCAGTGTTTACATGGCATGAATTCTGCAAGATTTGATCATTTGATGTGGGAGAGACGTGACTGCTCTATGGGCTACAGTCGTGCGAAAATCCAGATTTTCACATGAGTAACGTGACAGGTAACATGCATGCATGTTAACATGGACAAAGTACAGAGTGCAAATATTTAAGAACACAAACTTACAGCCATTTTTGATCGATGGTAATTCGAAATTGACGATCTTTACGTCAGTCCTCTTCGGCAAACCCTCGAAATGCTTCTCCAGAACCCACTTCTTGCCTTTTGTCATCTTGCTGGATGATTTAAAGAACGTGACCTGCTCAAAGAAACAAGGCAGCAGCTCACCTCGTCGACGGTTGCCTTCAGTAATGGCACGGGCGGCACTCCGGGTGCTTACATTCAACACACCAAAGACCAATGCGAGGGCAGGGCCGCGAGTGCCTTTCTGTCTCGGGGCACGAATCAACATTTATTCATTCAAGTGACAGGCTACGCATCATGCTGGGCGTTTACGAAAACCTCAAATCCCGCCTCTTCGCGTCATTTATTTCAGTGCTCAACACTTGCACGCATAACTGTCCCATGATGGTTTGCCAACATTCATCTGTCAGCTTGTGGAAGTGTTCACCCAACAGACTGATTGTGCTAGCTAAGTCACGTGACCTATGGTGGGTATCATACATCAGTAGACATGGCGTCCTTCCAAAGTGTGTCGTAAGTGTTGCTTACAAAAATAAGTCCTCAGGACATCTGAAGTACGAGCACCATAACGACTGTCTGCTTTATTTTTGGTATATGGCACAAGTGACATTCTGTGCTATGGGAGGACGCCATGTTTGGTGATATTTGATACCCATTATGGGTCACGTGACTCAGCGGGCACAATCAGTCTATTCTGTACAATTATCTAACGAAAGGTGAAAGACACATCAGCTTTCCCTTGCGCCTTCTTCTCGCATGTGTGGGAATAGTTAACATAGTTAAGATAGATGGGAGTAGAATTACTTTTTATATTGGCCAATATCCGGATGATGTAATTACATTACGCATGAAATTAACTGCTCGACCAAATTGGGAGAGAAAGTAAGTCTTCTCCGCGAGATAGGGAAGGTGCTCAGCACTCGGACTGGTCTTTTTTGTGTTGTCAGTAGAATAGGGCTACGTTGACGGTAAAAGGAATCTAGTGCCAGTTTGCTTCTCCCGGATCTGGGTCACGATCAGTGATCCGTTGTTGGTTCACTGTCACCAAAACCGACCTAATGGATAGAGCGAACCGGCGATAGGATCACTGATCGAGATCCAGACTCGTGTGGAACAAAAAAAAAAAAAAATGGCCCCGAATCGTTAGGAATGTCAGAGCATGCGCACAACTGTTGATACATCGTGGCCTTTGTTCGGAACCAAATTTTCCAGACAAATCTACCGGTATGTAGTATATACTGTGTAACCATATTCCGGTGCTCTGGACTAGACAAAACACTCAGAATGAACTCTAAATACGGCACTTTTACATTATTTGACATTTATCTCATCGTTAACTTTACACAAGCCAACACACACAGCGGATATGGTATTGTAAAATGTACTGGTATCATAAATCTGTACCTGACCAGCATTTCAGCTAAAAACTCGAGCGTCGAGAATGCCTGGTACTTTCCTGTTTGCTACAGAATTTTGTAGGCGCAGTTTATATTTAACCGTAGACGACAGATTTATGTAAACAATATGCCATGTACATGTAAAGGAACCTATTATTACACATTTTTAATTTGAAAAAATTTCGTACCGTGACATATCATAGTCTGGTTCTGCGCCAACATAGTCTTTGTGACTTCCCATCCACAAAGTGGGTATTTGACCGTTTAACAATTTCGGACTTTTTCCTGAAAACCATACAGAGCCAGTACTTTGAAGAAGGAAAAGTAAATTCTGAAATTAAAAGTTGCAGTCAATTAAAAAAAAATACAACAGAAGAAAATTCTTATTTCGGGGGGGTACAGAAATGGACAATAGCTGGGAATCGACCCCAGCAGCGAGCGTATAAAGTGACCTCCCTATCCACTACACCACAGACCCTAATAGATCAAGTGGTACGTTTTTAGCTTACAATAGCATATCTACTTGCAGCCGGCTAAATAAAATTTAACTAAATTTGCCGGCAACGACAAAACATCCACTGTCGTGGGGGATGATGGTCTATTAGTTGACTGTTTGGGGGAAACTGTCGTCATCATAAGAATTTTGTACGGTAATTTGTGGAAGATATTCAAAACTTCAATAGGCAGGACTGTGGGAAATATGGCTGGATTGGACCAGTGCAGGGACTCTATTTGCGCATATAATGTACATCAGGAGTCGTGATCCTCTGACAACTCGACAAAATTAATGCCAGTGATGTCGGTATCAAGACAGTTTTGCTGCCAGGTGATGGATCAGGCATCGAGTGACTTGTCAATAAGCTCTCATAGAAACTGGACAAATATCGGGCACAGTTATAGGTCTTTATCGAAAAAGAGGTGATGGGTCTTGCAAAAGCACGTTGAAGTGTACGTACGAATGGTTCTCAAGACACGATCACACACCATTGATCCCAACCCAGTCGTGTTTTTTGCGACCTTTAAATCCAAGAATCAAAGATAACTTTTGTGAAGATAAGACCATATTTAATCAAATTTTAACAGCCTCTCTCCAACTTACCCAAAAAGACGAAATAAACTGCCTATAGATAAAGACTAGATACAAATCTTAGTACCTTTCTCGAGATACTGCAAATAAGATACTTCAAATAGAAACACGTTCATTCACCGGTGTGTTTAGTGAGAATATTAGCAAAGAAAATACACCGTAATTTTGTGACCACGTTTGTCTCGCAGAAGCAAAAAAACAAAACAAAAACAAAAATAGAAACAAAAAAGAAACCAAAAAAGCACCCCAAGAAAAAACAAAAAAAAACAAACCAAAAAAAATAAGGACGTGAGCGAAAGAACATTTTAGTCTTAAGGCCATTATAATGCTGCTTTTTTCTTTTTTGACATCAAACATCACGTCATTTAGTGTGCATTGGAATCTAAACTGTCATGTCCTTCATTTAAGTATTTAACCGTAGCAAGAATTAAAATTTGCCCCAGATTTCATTGCTCCATATGACAAAGTATGACGGTTTCAGTTACTTGAGAAATGCCTGCATACCACCTTTCTTACTTAGAGTTGGCCCGTCGTGTCCTTTGTCCCTTCCACATATTTTATAGCCCTGTGTAAGTGGTGCTTTTCGTCACGGCTGACGTGTTTTTTTGTATTAATTCTGCGGGTTGACTTTTGTATCGTTTCATTTTGGTACTTTTTTCTGTCTGAACAGTTTCCATGCATTCTTAGGAAGGTTTAACTCCGAACCCTATGGCATAGGCACTCACCGACCGTGTGAGGATCGCATGTGCAAGTATCAGTGTTGTAGTCAAGGCCAAATAAGACCTTCACAAGACCAAAAATGACCAGCACAAGACCAACACAAGACCTCTAGTCTGAATACAAGTCACAAGCTATTCCACTGAACTGAAACAAAAGCATTCCTTGTCATTGTTCTCACTGTTACCAGTGACGGGGCTTGCACATAGTCTTGTCCATAGCCTTGTGTGTGGTCTTGTATCCGGTCTTGCGATGGCCTCGACTACAACACTGGCAAGTATATAACTAACGCTTGGAGTAATTGATGAGAAAACAACTTTTCTTTTCAATTCCAATGACCACTGGAATTCCAAGAGCTTTCTTTGCTCTGTTTGCACGTGGCATCTTCACTCAGTTTTTCTCTAGATTCTACAACTTCAAATGCATGAGATTTAACAAACTGTGTATAGCAGTTAACAGTTGTTGCCTGCGGTGTAGGGGTTCATGGTGTTTGTACACCCGAGGGGGCAAGTGGCACTCGTTTTATACAAACAGCAGTGACGATCACAGCAGAAACTGTGATAAGAGCAGACTCGTGTTCCACGAGCGTAGCTGGGTGCAGGAACAGAAGTTCAGTAACTCGCAGGTCTCCGTCATGGTCAGAGTGAAGAGAGTAGCACATGCCAACAGATATAGTGTTTCAATGTCCCCAAATTGAGAACATCTCCTACAATCCGCTCCGAGCGGAACAAAAGAGGGCGTAGTTTTTTTGGTACTCACCACAGAGGCGCGCCATGAGGCGCGCAAGTATGCGCATTTGACGCAGAGTACCGGTGTGGCAGTCTCAGCAGTCCCCCTTACCAAATATGGTAAAAATACGTTATGCCGCGGGAAAGACGTCCGCTTATGTCCGTTTTAATTTAAATCAAATAAATAAAATCCTCCACTCAGACGTGTAAGGCTCAACCAACTGGCTGAAATCAAACAGACTTGCTCCCAATACCGCCAAACAAAGAGAAAATTAAGATAATTACAGAACTCCTAAAATGTTCAGCACGTTGCAGGGGATGGATATATGTATCAGCCCCACATTTAGGGGTTTGGGCTACTTAATCCCCCTTTTTCTTCGTGAGGAAAACTGAGACGGATTGTGAGGAATTTTTAGACTTTGCAGCGACCAAAATACATTCATACCACTGAAAACAAGGTAACAGTTACCAAAAAGCCACAAAAATGCCGTTCTGATGTAAGCTTCTGCAGGAATGTAATACATAAATACATTTTATGTCGCCTCTTTATAGTGCCATAGGATGTTTAGAAATTCCATGGCAGGCAAAGTCACCCCCCCCCGATTTCTGGAATAAATATATGCCACTCGTTAAGCAAACGCCTTAAGAAATCAACATCTCTCAAAACAGCGCACTCATCGAATACGTTTTATTTTAACCAATTGGCAGCTAAGATGGTCAGATTACCAAAGAATCATTTTTTCTTCCATTAACAAACGTGTCAGTTGCCGAGAGAATAAAAAATGCTTCCCATAGACAAAGTCTCTTAATTGTCATAATTGAATCCAAATGTTGGCGGTTATAATATGATCTGCAACTAAAACCTACCTTAATCGTCTTGACAAATTTTTGAATAGGACAAAAAAACTATTTCCAAACTACCTAAAGGAAATTTCTATAGTCTAAGAGGTTTTTTTTTTTGGGGGGGGTTGGTATGATATAATTGTGTACGTATGTTTCAAGTGAATAGCAGGCCTACCTTCGTTATTTTTTATCTCCACTCAATACCGTCGTTATTTGTTTCATTTTTGGTTTATCCTTTTTTATAAGTTTTTTTTAGTCTCAATTTTTTATTATTGCTCAATTACAGTTTTCACATTTTGTGATGTTTTATATTTGTTTGCTTCTTTACCCCTTACCGTTGAATACTTTATTGTATTGACGATATAATTTGTTACTACTTTCATCTTTCTTTCCATTCACGTGTACATTAAATAGCCCTTTTAAAAGCAGATTCATGCTTCTGGCAAGGCTTTTGGGTGGGTATCTTTTCTCGTGCTTGATATCTTTTAAAATGTTTGTGTCTGTGAATCTGTGATGTTGATTGTTGACTGTATGTCTGCTTGGATCCATGGGAGACCAGTGCAGTCCATTTAGTGGGCCATCCATATGAAATAAGGTCGTTGAACTGTAAAAGAGCAGTTAAGCAGTAAAAATAATAATAATATAAAATAATAGTACAGCTCGTTTGGTCACGCAAAAATTGAATTAAAGTAGAATGTTCATCTCCAACAAGTTCAAGTTCTACATTTTCTGAAGAAAAACGGGTTTTTAGACAAACACAATGTCTTTTTTTTAGATCTCATAGCCACTTATTCTAAAGGATAAGTGACTCCTACTTCGATTTTTGTAATATCTGTCTTATAATTGATATAGTTATCACTACACTTTTTCCACTACATTAGCAGACTAGTTAACGGTTTGATCTAAGCTGCTCTTCAATTGAATCTCTTGTTGACCAATTAATCAAGAATGAATACAGACGTCTAGTCAAAACGCACCCAACGAGAAATGCGTTGAAACCATTTAAAATAATCTGCCAGCCATCTTAGCGTGACAATTCCTGTTAGATTGCGGATTTACTCACCACTCAACTGTAATTTATACGCATTCTATACGACATGAATATTAAAACTCGCTGTTCAAGGAATTGAACGGAAAAATCACTGATTTTTTTCACGGCTACGGGTAAACAAACTTGTAAAAAAGTGTGTTCTTGGTCAATGTAAGTGACAGACCTTAAATAAAATTCAACAAAACTTTCCAAATTTCAAGACATATATCGCCATTTTCCTCTTTGATTCTATGTTTAAATAAGTCACAAGGGATCACTGCTTTTAGCAACAAAGGAGATCTTACGGTGGCAATAAACAAACGAGAACACAACAAACTTGAGCTCATTCTTAGAAAAGGCACAAGGAATAACAGTTGATCTGTTTGAAGTTATTAGCATATCCGCTTTTCTGAGTTCCATTTTGTATGTTAGTACTTGGTATTCAAACCCAAGCTGTCATTCTTAGAACTTAGTTTGATAGCAAAGGCACTTAAGGACATTTTGACTGAAACATTGAATTTAAACCTCAACGACGGCTTTGCCGATGTTTGCTCCAGAGAACAGCTCCACAAAAGCGTCGAACATCTTATCGAATCCCTTGGTGACGTGCTCCCTGTATTTTAGTTTCCCCTGTTAGAAAAAGAAAATTGGAATCGGGGAGAAGAGAATGTGACATGACAATGGACATGGCGAAATCATAACAATGTAAAGCACATTTAATACCTTACAAAAGACCAGAAACATGTCCACACAAAAACAATATTAAACAGGGTGAAAAATTCCAATATACGAAAGCCCTGTAGTGCCATCAAGTTTATTTTTAAAAATTGAATTTATGTTTTCGAAGTCCCTTCATTTGGGCAAGATAATGTTTCCACAGTCCGTTTGTTTGATACATAAATTCTCCAGTTTGTTCTAATCAGATGTATGCTTGGAAACACTGTTTCTGTGTTGGTAACAAATGGTTTTTAGGAGATCTATTTTGGATGAAATTTGTTTTTCACGAGAGATTTTTTCCAGGTTGATTTTCTAGAGATATATAAATTGTAGGGTTTGGAGTTATTGCTCACAAAACAATCTTCAAAAAATCAAGCAAACGAACTTAACAAAATCTCCTAAAAAATGAACTTTGAAAAATATACTTCACTTTTGGAAATAATACTTGACGGCACTTTTGAAAATATATACTTGACAACACTACAAGGATTTCTTAATACTTTTATTATTAGAGTTATAACGATTGCTGTACGTATCTTCGCCGTGCATCAATTCACCATTCCTGGATTGGATTGGATTGGATTTTTTTGTGGAGGTAATTTCTTTTGACAAGACTTTTTTTTCTCCCCAAAGACAAATCACTTTACACATTTTTTCTTTCATCCAGAACCTATTCCATTGGTAAGTTGACATCTTCATCAAACTACTAATAACACAAACCAAAAACTTTGGCGCAAATATTAACCCCGAAGAATGAAAACGTGATGACGTCAACATAAGTAACGTGATATACCCTAAAAGTTTATTTCAGACCCGTTGGTCAAAGTGGGTTCAAACATAAAACAAATCGCGTATTATAGGCGTATGTGTTAAAAGTGATTTTATTTAATGATTATATTTATTTATTTATTTTTTATTTATATCATTTCACCTATTTAACATTTTTGCACGCATCTTCCGTACAAAGGTTATTTGTGACATTTGTTTTGTAAGACTTTATCCATAGCTCTATTAGATGTGCGGTGATGTCATGATGGTGTCATCAAAATATGCGATTTTTTATTCACTTACACTTGATACAGCCTGGTTGCTATGAAATCAATTCAGCAGAATTTGATTTCAGTGCAGCAGAGAATGCATTTAATTATGGGGCAACATATATGATGTTTCCAGAAAGCTTTTTTACTCAGCACCATCTGGATAAGCTACACAGCACGGGGGTATTCCTTCTATCCTTTATTTCTTAAAAGAGAAAAATGATGAATTGAATTTTAGATGTGAGTGATGACTAGAAATACGAACTTTAAGCAGTCACATTCAAATACTTGCCAAAAAAGAAGGGAAGGGGATTCTCGGACATGTCCCTAAGATCATTTTGTTGAATAATACTATTCCTAAACTACTAAATGATCTTAAATTTAAGAAACGTACGCAAATATGTGAAATCAACATTTAATAGGAATCACTTATTGTTAACTCTTTGTTTATGGACATGATATTGTATGCCTCCCTTGCCCAGTGGAGCAAATAAGGGCCACTGTCCACTTATTAATTGAGCACATATTAACAACATGTGGCGTTTGGTCTGTAGCAACCCCTAAAACATCCTTGACATTAATTTAATTAACTAGTGCAATATCCAGGTTTGGGTGAGTGGGAACGGAAGTTCCCCAAAATAATGCGCGTATTTTAACACTGTTTCAACATATCCCTGTGCAATATATAATGGTTTTTTTTTTCAAAATTCGTTCAGGAGAATGTTTCCAAGATGACTTCATCAGAAGTCCCTTGGCATGCTTGTTAGGTTGAAATCTTTGTATACCTTTATTTCTAGAACAGTCAGTCCCACTGGGATGAAACTCGGCACGAACCCACACACCCACGTGTTGAAATTCAAAACTGGGGTGTCGTTATCATGACAGCGGATGAAATTTTACGAATTTTGAATTATCCTTACTCTCACTTTCTTCTCTGCATATCTCCTAAAACAGGGTTTTACACCATTTGCTTTCAAGGCTGGATAAACGTGGCATTTTGATCCTTAAAAATTATATTTTCCTATTCTTATGGGTGACCTACGGTCAGAGCAAGGAGGAGGGGCATAGGAGTTACAACCCTGGCACAACCATGTGCTTGATGATATTGTCGCCCGGTCAGACAAACCATAATAAACATTTCCAAAATTCCTGATTACTGCCTGCAGCTTAGCGGTGCAACTGGGACCTGTAATATCCTAGCAATGCCTGTGGTGTGATTATGAAAGGGAAAGAAACATTATCTAACATTAGATTTACTTCTGCCATTGTGAATAATTTTTTAAAGATTTTGATTCACAGTTTCCATTATCTATGCAATTTTTATGATTTTATTTTGTCACTCCAAAACATCAGGTTTCCAATTGTTTGTACGAATTTGGCTAAGACTGGCCAACAACATGTTGACCACCACGGGACGGTTAATTTCACAAAAAAAACTGTTTCACTACATACCTTTTTGTGTAAAGTACGTAATAACAATGATTAAAAAAACACAATATCTTGTAAACAACAAGTATTTATTCCCAAAATAAGTCCAGAAGAAACCGTTCGATAAGGGCAATAAATACACATAAGCACTTCGGGTGCACAGCCCAATGAAAGCAACTGCGCAAGTACTAGTATTATTTGATGTTGTTGTCAGATCACACCAAGCACCAACGATGGCATGGATATTCAACTTCCCTTACTGCAGTGAACAACGCTTTGAGGAGGAAGAATACCAGCGACAAAATTATGGCGATGATCGTGGGTACAAAAGGGGGCTTATGGTCGTGAAACCCGTGGTGCGTAGCAAATCTTCGCTGCGCTCTGGCTATGCACATATCAGGCATACCAAAAAGCGATGATTGGCCGGATATGTTAAAGCCTGGGCAGTTGAAACTGCTTCTGTGTCCTTCCTCCAAGGTCATTTAGTCATTTAGGATGACCAACTTTGGTGACCCCCGTGGCCTCGTGTCTTCTACCTAGGTGACACGATTTCCTCTATTTTGGAAGACATGGGTCACCAATTAAGTAACAGATACGCATGTGCCACTTGGTCCCGTTGAACGCTGACACTTTGTAAGGCTGCTGATAGCTCAATATTTTTGAAAATGCACAGCGACGTTATCTGCGAGGCACTGTCTATTACAAACCAGCGTCCGCTGCAAAGCGCCTCTGGGCGCGTTAATAGAAATATTTCCTCAAAGAGATATTTGTAGTGGGCTGCATGTACATCGGGGTGGGAATCCTATTTATTCCTAATAAAAGCCTTCCTGGAGTTAGGAGATTAGAAAACTAAGAGGGAAAGCTTGCGGTAAGCACCTTGCAATATCTCTTTTTGAGTCTGTATGGTTCTGATAAGATCTCTTTTTGAGTCTGTATGGTTCTGATAAGAACCGGAGAGGCTCCGGTTCTTATC